TTGATGTTTACGTTCCGTGGTATGATGATTCGTTTCTGTGGTATAATGATACGTTTCCGGTGTTTGATGTTTACGTTCCGTGGTATGATGATTCGTTTCTGTGGTATAATGATACGTTTCCGGTGTTTATGTTTATGTTCCGTGGTATGATGTTTCGTTTCTATGGTATAATGATACGTTTCCGGTGTTTGATGTTTATGTTCCGTGGTATGATGATTCGTTTCTGTGGTATAATGATACGTTTCCGGTGTTTATGTTTATGTTCCGTGGTATGATGTTTCGTTTCTATGGTATAATGATACGTTTCCGGTGTTTGATGTTTATGTTCCGTGGTATGAGGTTTCGTTTCTGTGGTATAATGATTAGTTTCCGGTGTTTGATGTTTAGTTTCCGTGGTATGATGTTTCGTTTCTGTGGTATAATGATACGTTTCCGGTGTTTATGTTTATGTTCCGTGGTATGAGGTTTCGTTTCTGTGGTATAATGATTAGTTTCCGGTGTTTGATGTTAAGTTTCCGTGGTATGATGTTTCGTTTCTGTGGTATAATGATACGTTTCCGGTGTTTATGTTTATGTTCCGTGGTATGAGGTTTCGTTTCTGTGGTATAATGATTAGTTTCCGGTGTTTGATGTTAAGTTTCCGTGGTATGATGTTTCGTTTCTGTGGTATAATGATACGTTTCCGGTGTTTATGTTTATGTTCCGTGGTATGATGTTTCGTTTCTGTGGTATAATGATACGTTTCCGGTGTTTATGTTTACGTTCCGTGGTATGATGTTTCGTTTCTGTGGTATAATGATACGTTTCCGGTGTTTATGTTTACGTTCCGTGGTATGATGATTCGTTTCTATGGTATAATGATAAGTTTTCAGTGTTTTTTGTTTAGTTTCCGTGGTATGATGTTTCGTTTCTGTGGTATAATGATAAGTTTCCGGTATTTGATGTTAAGTTTCCGTGGTATGATGTTTCGTTTCTGTGGTATAATGATTAGTTTCCGGTGTTTGATGTTTACGTTTCGTGGTATGATGTTTAGTTTCTGTTGTATAATGATAAGTTTCCAGTGTTTATGTTTACGTTCCGTGGTATGATGTTTCGTTTCTTTGGTATAATGATTAGTTTCCGGTGTTTGATGTTTACGTTTCGTGGTATGATGTTTAGTTTCCTTGGTATGATGTTTCGTTTCTGTTGTATAATGATAAGTTTCCGGTGTTTGATGTTTACGTTTCGTGGTATGATGTGTAGTTTCTATGATATTATTTGAAGGTTCTGTGGTGTTTATGTAAACAGTTGTACCCGCGGTAATGCTTAGCTAGCTCAAGTATTTCATGCTTACATGTTTAATAGACAAGCACTCGGTGTGTGTCTTTCTATGTCAGTCGTGTGTGGAATCTTCAAAGGTTTATTCTCATAATAATACAATCTGCTCCTCGTAAAATGTAAGCGAGGACGGATGTAAATATCATTATTATTATTTCATCTCAAAACCTGAATGGAATGAAACTTAATGAACTGCGAAAATTGTGAAAAATATGTGTACAAACAAGGAATATTCTACAACGTGTATTCTGTATCGGAGGATATATCACTTTATAGTTTTGCAGAAGTATGGTGGTTAGCTATCGAGGGCAGATAAAAGGATGGACTCGAGGTCCTTTCTTCTGCCGTAGTAAGTGTCTTAAGTGAAGGAAAAGTACTAGACAAGTGAATGGCGATCTTCGCCCCGTCCCGTAAAGTGATGTTGACAAATCATCACCGTATCTGATTCAGATCAAACAACCCACACAAAACTCTTAAATGGGACTGTTACCAAACACATTCACAAAAGGTCATAAACCAAGTTCGTTTATAATCCCCAGAAGAAGACTGAGTAGCCCGGTTGTTACATCAAACCATGTGTATACAGTCTGTTCTTGTTTGGAAACTACATCGTAACAACACGTTTAGTTGGTTTGTTTTCTATTTTGTCGACGGAAATGGTGTTACTATCTTTCAATGATCAGGTGAGATGCATTCAGCCCCGCCCATCTCTCCCCGTCCCTTTCTTCTAGTATTAAAACGTCGCCATTCTAATCGAAACTCAAAAAAGTGCCACCCAGCCCCGCCCACTTTCGTCCTGTCCCTGTCCCCAGCCATTATTACATTGTAAATTGCCATTCTCATCGAAACTCTCGTCTGTTCGGATAAAAGTACACTTTAGTCCTTGCATTAGACATCATATCGTCAGTTGATTGAGTGCCGATACATATCAACAGCAAGACACATATTACATTTTTAATCTTTGAAATTGGCCAGCCCTGAGCATAAAGCCTTCTATGGGGGAATATCAATGTTTTTTTCTTCACGCTGCTGGCATCTTGTAAGGCGATGATTAAAACCCAAAACAGTTTATGTATATTTAAATGAAAGATGGAATGGCAGATAAGTCCTAGTACATTATGTCAATTATAGATAGTGAAGCGATTTATGCGGAACGCTTACATCACTGCGAAATTGATTATACCAAACTTTCCCGATTCCAAAAAAGTAGCGACAACCTGCCGATGAAGTCGTCGATACGAAAAACGTGAATGAAAACAAGATATATTGCCAGCCCTTTAATATATTCGGACATAACCAAGTAATCGAATCATCTCATTTCTTGTTTAACTGATGAAATCTCGTCAGAAAAAAAAAACATTTTCATTATTAACATATTTTGCAACGCGAAAACGGCGCTGTTGTAAATGATTTTTGTTATCGACTAGACATGATGTTTTTATGACCGTGACAGTGTAGTTGTATCATGAAGCTGATGTTCATTGCACATGAAACGTATTTACTGATATGTATGTTATTTTCGGAAAATAAATTGTTAATGTGATATGAAAATTTGATAAGATCATTTTCTTTATAGGTGCTTGTCCGAAGGATGGTCTTTTGTTTGAATTTCTAATAAATTAACATTCGTTTTTTGTAAACCGTTAGTTATGTTAGAGTGTATATGTTAACGATGGACTCGGCCAGGGTGGTTTGTTTACTGTGAAGTCTGTTGTTTACTGGTTACATTTTGTTGACATTGGGTTCAGTGTGGGTTGTTTTGTATTCACCTCAGGTTCTGGTCACATGCTTTGTTAATCCTGGCCTCTGTTCGGATGAGTTCTTTTCTGTATTCCTGATCAGTTGGCATGTTTTAATGACAGTAAGATCCGTTCTTACCAATGCATCGTTTCCACAACCAAGACTTATTTGTCCACGGTTTTCTTGTAAATGGTGTCTCTATCCACACCCCAGGGTGCAGACAACATACTTCGCGATGAAAACAATAAAATGATGTCATCTTTTATAATCAGAAAACGTCATATTAATGATGGGGTTTTGACGTAGAGAGCATCTACTTTTGTCGTAACAATTTGTTTTAAGGATGGCGGAAAGCCGATTTCTGCTTTTTCGGGTGAGACAGAAATTGTAACTTGGAATTATTAAGCCGTTTGCAGAACCTCGATATCACAACTGTTCAGAATAGTGCCACTTTGCATGAGTTTCTTTTTAGTTTCAGCTCATAATCATGTTGTTCCTGGATTGACTACAACATCTAAATTTGTATATCATCATAATCTTTTTATCATTCAGTCTTGCTTACTTTAGGTATAATTAGTTTCTGACTCTTGTTAAACTATATGATGCATGAATCTAAATCGCTTTTTTCACAAGGGGGCTTCAATACTTGATTTCGGACGCCTGCAACAAATAATGAAACTCAGTTCGAAGACTAACGAACGTACTTCTTAATTCGTTTGGCCCTGAATTAATTCATTGAAAGCGATCATCCGAATAATAGTGACCTTTCTGTTGTATGATTCACGATGCAACTAAAGCGATGCTGTATTACTGCAATTAACACTTGATGGGTTTAATGGTACTGTATTCAAGATGATGCAGATAAGAAAATGAATTTTACTCAATAAATCTGTTGGAATTATTGTATTATACTGTTCATCCAGAAATGTTTGCCAGATTCTCAATTTCGCCCTTGTCGCCTTTTCTAATCGGGTTGAATTTTGGGTAGCATGCGGACGGACAACAATGCTCTGTCTGCTAGACCCATTGTATTTCTCATGTGAAGGATGAAAATAACACCGGACTAGTTCGTATTTTATCCGCCGAAATTGATAATATATTACAGGACTCAACTGTTCCAGTATACAGTATTACAATAAAATGTGGCGACAAGTGATATGCCATAAGTCTTTTAAGTTACACCATATTCCCATTGGTTCTATGTTGATTTGCTTTTTTCACAAAGTTATCTCGACTTTTTTCCGATGAATTTTGAAGAAATTTGGCACACACCTAGACAATTATGTTCGTGATGTTAATATACTACCAGTTCATTGGTCAAAATGATTTCACGGCGAAATCTAGAATTGCGTTTATGTATCAACGCCAAAAGGATCTTTCATGCACGGGTGAAAAATGATATCTTAGTAATAACGACAAATTTAATTATATCAATATTACGAATAGAAGCAAGTTGCAAAATTCTCAAGTTATGTACTAAATTATATCGCAATGTGATGATAAAAAACCTATAAGCATCAAAGGGGAGCAAAACATTAGCATATTTTGATAACTTATCAAAGTTATAAATACTGCATTGTATTTGTTGATGGAGAAATGCCGAATTACCGTAGCTCTTCAGTTAACAAGGCTTTTTGAGTTTATTCAGTTTGTGTAACTGTTATCTGAGTAAGTCCAACGTCATCTGACTTGTCTAAAGATTTAGGCAGACCTCCAATATCTCAGCCATATATACCAGTTCGAGATTTTACAAATACGTTAAGTTAAACTCTTTTTTTTCTCCTTACTGTCCATCAAAACTGAGGTCGGAATTGCAAATGTTTGGTTTGTTAGTCGGATTGCCCATGCATTGCTCTATTCTGCCTATGGACTTAACCACACTCTGTAATAATATTTCCAGGAATTATCATTCTGCTCTGAACGCACATTAAAAACATTGAGACATATAATTTTTTTCAGTGTTTTTTATATTATATTTTATGTTTTGTAGAAATTTTACAATAATTTAAATAGTCATAACAAATACCACTTTCATAACGATAACACAGCTCTCACCCAAACAGACGCATACATACAATGAACAACACTCTACCACGCCGCGCACCAGCATGCACGTGCTGCTGCCAGCCCGAAATGTTCTACTCACTATGGCAAATATCAACTACAATGGTTCGTAAAGCCATTTGTGTCGTCTCGTCAGTGTCCAGTGTTTTTTTCTTAAACTTCCTTAAATGACTGGTAGCGTTAAACTAAAAAGTTTGGAAAGACCATGTTGTCTTTCCGCGTTGGATTGTGTTTCTGTCTTTAGCGTGCTTAAATGTATATCGGACGAATAACTCGCCCAGACGTGCACACAAGACGGACACCAGCGTCCGTTACTGAACACATAAATCTACCTTGGTACTGCTAGCACGAAATGCCTGTGGATTTCTGGGAGACGCTGCCTCCCGCGCACACTTGTCATGCTTTTTGCTTGAATGTCCGCCGCCACGGAGCCTTGTGTTACAGGGAATGTTGACAGTACTGGCAGTACGCTCATCCAATAACAACAATAAATGCAGTATTATAATATTCATAATTAATAATATATCACAACACATAAGCACGGGTCTGTGTCTTTAGATCATTGCACGCATCCTTATCACGACACCGCCCGTGCACAAGTCCTGTCTCGACGGGCGGTCTATATTTACTGGCTACACAACGTCGTCCCCTCCCCCCATCCCCGGCCCCCACTGGATTTCATAACATATGTAATAAATATATGGACTCTGGGTAGTACACATAGGCCGCAGAGTCAGCCAGGCCTGTCCTTAGTAGCAACAGGTGGAATGGAACCTCCTTCGAGAGAAATATCTCTGCTAAAAGTAATCCATTGGGTTGCGGCACCATTGTATCACAGTTGGCGCATGCGCAAGAACACGTCACTGTCACGGAAAATCCCTAGTTTATAAATATCACACGTCCCTCGGCCGTCTCCGTCGGTTTTTCCGCTTACGTTTGTTTTTAGGATTGCCACATTCGCACCAAACGTTAACATGTAGTTTCTCGAACACCCAAACCTCCTCATACGTCGTGTTGACCCCCACTGTAGGGACCGGGTTACAACGATTAGGGTCCATCTTAAACAAGTTGATTGTGTATCCCTGCTCAACGCATTCGTTTAACTTATAATAACACAATTTTGTTAAACATTCCACGGAATTATAATACTTGGGAAAATACCCTGGTTTAGTTTTATTCCATATCTTTTTCATCTTACACTTCCATGACAAGTGGTCTTTCCTTTTAAGTTTTTGTTTTTGTTTTCGCCTCCTTCCACTGCGGGGGCCCGCTCGCTTATGTCTTACATTTAATTGCATTAATCTTTGGTAAAATGTCACATCCTCGTCGAAATCGTCATCGTCATCGTCCTCCTCCTCCTCCTCAACAACCGCTCGTCGTTTTCTCTTCCTCATGAATTTCATAGAATCTAAATACGCAGAGTCCTGCGTTTGAACCGTTCTGTCTTGTGAGTTTCCATAACCACCATCACTCATCATTGTGTTCGAAATCGAATCAATATTCGAGTCGAAATCATCCACAGAATCATCGAATTCATCATCATCATCGTTCTCGAAATCATCGTCGTCCTCTATAGAACGCTCTCGTAACGTGCTTCTTTTCATATCCTCCTCGTCCATTGCCATCCTCGACTCGTCGTAGTGTCTGCCCATTCGGTAGCGCAGATGATCTGGGTCGACAGGACGACAACGGGGCACGGTTATTTCCGTGATGTTATTGAGCTTGGTTGGCGGCGGGCGTTTTCTCGGGTAGGCCAACACGGGGCTTGTCAGCATCACAAAACAGATCACGAGGAACAGAAACTCGCTGGTTCTCTTTGCCTGCAACAGCAAACAGGAGAGAAGACATTTAATCATTGTGGATCATTTGAAATATAACAATGTATAAAGAAAAAGAATCATAGATGGTTCCATTGGTGTTTACCTCATAAAGATTGGTTTCTTGAGTCGGACAAGAGTGGGTGTGTTCCTTATTGCGAAGCAGTAAGTACAGAAACAACGACACGCCTATTTGGATAGTATTTGTATTAGCTAAACTCAATCACATGCTTACGATAAGGCCAAGAGTTTACATGATTGCGATACGGTCATACTGGGGTGACGATTGAGCTAATTTAGCAAATACGAAACACGAGGCATAGCTTTGATTAACACTATAATGCATTTTGAGACAACAACAAACCAATTCCTTCGTTTTCGATCTGATCTTCATGCGAATGAAAATAAGTCAACTGGTAGGACCACTCACACTTTAAGGCAAACTAGTACAGAGTGTATCTAAAAGCTGCTGGTCTTGTCAAGAACAACCATATGCCATCACTATTGTAGAAAATAGAAATGACAAGATGAAGTTGATATCTGCAATTCACTGTTTTCGCTAAAGTATTGGATAGAGTAGGGACGTGCTGTGTGTCGCATCAACTTCAACTTTCTGATAAATTATCATGAATATCGGCGCGCTCTTGATGTCTCTATCAGATCAAACTCTCTTGTCAAAGGTCACCTCGTACCAAATTCACAAGATATGTTACAACAGTTGCTTGTTGTTCTCCGTTTATTTTCTAATTTGTATACATAATGTTTGTATAAGATCATTTCTACTTATTTGAATGGAATAGCAGTGATAAGGGTAATAAATCCATGATCAATTAATATGACGTTACATTACAGATGGTTGTGTAGGAGGTGTGCGACAGCTTTCATCGTTATGTTCACATTTTCTTATTCAGGTTAGCGGATTTTGGCTAAAAAAAAGTCCGAATGTTGTCTTTTTTTCCAATTCGATTTAAAACTTTGATTCTATATAATAAATGTGATGTAAGAAACATGTCATCTTCTAAACTACATCACAACATAAACAATATACATCCAATAATTATTTAATTGATAACGTTTGCAACATTACGCTGATAACTGACTTTCAAAATAATTTGTAAGCTTTCATATTGAAAAATAAGCAAGTTTCAGTTTAAAGCAGCTCAGATTAATACGATTCACGTCACATTTAACGAATCACCTTACCCATCCCCAACTATGTCAAATGGTATAAAGGTTGTACAGGATGCAATATGCACACATATTCGTCACAGGGATGTTGTTATAGACTGCCCGTCGAGACAGGACTTGTGCACGGGCGGTGTTGTAATAAGGATGCGTGCAAATGTTCGGTTTCTGTTTTATCTTTAAATGTTCAATAGGTTATCATAATATCGTCAGATACTACTATAGTAGTATGCACATTCAGTTCGGCAGAACTCGTGTACGACAATGGCTTTTAGTGTAACATGTGTACAAATGTTTGCAAGATATTATCCGGAATCGACCAATATATGCTAGTAGGTTAACATACATATTCGTTCCGCGTTTTTTTATTCTGCTCGAATTTTAGGATTTTCATATCCGTTTCATTACCCAAATAATCTTAAAAGGCGTGAAAAGTCATGCAATCAAGATTAATTGATTAACACCACCCAAAACTGCAGAAATTGCGAAATAGTCAGTATATGTACACTTGTGTAATATACGAACACAAGAATACATCTGTGTAATATTATATGAAAACGTTTTAAAGGGACAAATCATGATCACTCCAAGAACATATTTGCGAAAAAGATTTCAACTGAAAGAAAATAGTTTCAGAGTGTTGTATTTTGGAAATATGATTCCATATTTCTTAGTATACGTGTTTTCTTAGCCAAGTTGATAATTCGTGTCCCCCTATACAAACGTTGGTTAAATGACAGAATTCTCAATAAACTGATTCGTACGTGTATGATATCTGTCAAATATACCTTTGAAACTGTGGCGTTCCAGGTATTATTGTAAAGAATGTCGAGATTATTTTGCATGAGCGGAAAATGAAACGACTGAAAATGTGGTGAATACGTGATCACACTCCAAAGATCGTCTCTAGTGCCTCAAGGAGAAAACACATTAACTTCGACTACGACTTAGTATCACTTGAGTTCAGCTGTGCGTGTAGAACGATCGGCATGTTTGAAAAAACGGCCGGAACACTGATAGAAAATGTTACTATCCACACGTATTATACGGTTCGAAGACTTAAAACAATTACTTAAATTTAATTCTTAATTTGTTTAACGAGGATTACGAACAGCCCAGGGGCTACTAGCCTACTAACTCTTCACACGTATTCAACTGATATGCAACTGCTGACTGATAAAACGCGGGTTGGATACATTTCAAAATTAGAGAAAAACATTACCGAAAACTGATTCCAAACACTCATAACTTAAAAATAGATATGAATATCCTAAAAATGTCAGAGAATGTTAATTCCTGGTGTAAGTACCTGTGCACCGTCGTGCGGTTACAACGGTTTCATACCAGTCAATGTTTACCAACCTTTAACGTGCGGAATTCAAAAGCTAGGTAAATATGAAATATATGACAGGTGAAACTCATGTTTTAATTGATTTATACACATTTTTATTTATATTTTACATCTAATTATTGACTTTTTGAGATGTTTTGTTTGTCACTTGATGTAGGAACTTCCATTCCATTACAACGACCCCTTGAACCAGATTCATATTGATATCCCACCTTTGCAGGTTGTGGCGACTACGACCAACACATCCCAGTGGGGGTGAGAAGGGAGGACTTCAAAACTCTTTATGTAGTATTGATACTCCAAGCTCCTGTAGAAACTTAACTAAATCTTAGTTGACATTCATGGTAAGCCTTTCTTGGATGCACCCAATTGAGTATTTTCTGACTCCCGGGGAACTGTTAAAATATCCCATCGATATTCAGGGAACGCCTCTCTAAGTAGCGCCCACTAGCACGGAAACTGGTACAATTTTACCCTCGACACTCATAGGACATTCAGAGAACACCTCTGTATGATGTACTAAGTAGTATGGTCTGACCCCGGGGACACTTATAAATTCTTACTCGACATTCCCACTATCATCATCAAGTATTACCGGACGCCTGGACCGGAATACGATAACATTATTAGTCATTCAAGCAGATAATATATACATGCAGAAAACAGTTCGATAAAGTCTGATGGCAGTGCATGTGTAGCACGGTGACGTCAGCTAAAGAGCATGATCTAATCAAGCTAGTATCTAATGGTATTGTCACAACAGTAGACGACGTCATCAACAAAACAATGAAATGGTAGGAAAATATGGTTTTATACGAATATTAATATAATAACGATTTTATATTTATAAATATCAACCACTTAACTTAAAAAGATTGTTTTTGATTTGACATGGTGAAGTTTGATCTGTATCTATATCAATATCTTAGTCTTTATCAAATCATCGATTTTTGGGGAATGTAAATTTTCGATTATTCACATTGAGAAAGAAGTTTTTTTAGAATATAATAGTTGTAAGTACAGTTGTACTTTAGAAATAAGAGGACAACAGAAAATATTATAAAATATTACCCAAGTGGCGTTACCGTTAAGTTTCCCGTGTTTCCCATGTCTGTCCATTCGTCCAGTTATAAATTGACACTGACATTGTTTTATAATACTACTCGCACGAGACCGTTCTCTTATGTGTCGAGAATCTCCAGCAGGTTGTCTATTTATCTCACGATTTGACTGTGGTCTGAAGTACTTTAAATACGCCCCCTAATCTGTCGTAACTCAATGTAATATAAAAATAAGTATGCGTCATCACGTTAAAAAGAAGGTTTCCCCAGCATACTTCAAATTCTCGGTTAAAGACAAGATGTCAATACAATCCCATATATAGCCTGGAGTGTTTGTAGTGACTTCGCTAAAAAAAGCTTCCGAAACCAGCGAGCAACTCCGATAAAAGGGTTTATTTAAATTTGGGTGTTGGCCGTTTCAATTAAAGCGATATATGTGAAGGGTACTCCACGCTATTTAACGTACGGAATGCTATTTTCTATTTTACCGTTATAATTGTTCATGTGACTAAATCCGCATGTCAAATTTCAGATTTCATCAGCTTTCAAAATATCAGAACAGTGGGTTCAAGCGTGTGATACAGTCGGATTGGCGTACTTTAATAACACCTGGATTAACCTATGAATCAGTTAAAATGTGTTCTTAAGAGTTACAGGCAGGTGAAATTACACACAGTCTGACAAATACAGTTTGCGTGAAAAATCCCAGTGTTTTGAGAATAATTCAAACGTATCAGAAACACATGCATCATTATAGGCCCGTTGTTCTACCGAGGTGAGATTTTGAATCATACGTGATGTTTGTCGACAAAACAGTATCTGATTTCCCGGTGTATAGGGGCCTCGACACCCTTTCTCTGTGACCAATAATAGCGGAATGTATTGGGGATCAAATGTTAAATATCATCTCAAATACCCCATCATCATCATAGACCAAGCAAATGTATCCCACTATACATAGCAAAGCAACCTACGGCAAACAATGAAACGCTCATACTAAACATTACTAACCGCAAAACCCCAACTGTCGGTAGTTCAAACATGCAATACACACCGCAATACTGAAACACTTAACATTCTACCGATCATATATATACCTTACACATCGCGATCAGAAACACTCGGCAATTTTTAAAACCAAACATCGCACACATCGCCATACTGAAACACTCGGCAATTGCCCAATTATACCACACAGCTTACAACACTGAAACACATCACACACACATCGCAAAACTGATATGCTCGTCAATATACCAAACCAAAACCCGTCATGAGCCAAATAAGAGCTCACAAGCTCTTTTATCGATCTGTTTGATGCATTTTAACATTTTCCTATTGAGTTTTTCTTAAGTCAATTGCGATGCTTTTGAAACAGATGTTTGCATCATACAAGATAATTATCTATTTTCTTTCTCCGGTATCGACTATTTTTGTTTCTAAATTTTATTCTTTATCCAACAAAAGAATAAAAAGTACTCCCAGTTTATATAAATTACACGGTACCTTATACATCGGTAACTGCTTAATGAAAGTTTTAAAAAAATATAGAAATAAAATTATTCAGACAATTCTCTTTCATGAAGAGTTTGTTTCTTTAAATCGCGTTATAGTCGACTCTGAAAAAACGTTGTTTAATCTTTGTGTTTGTCCCTTGCTTGCTAAAGTATTAACGGATCATCAAAATAATCAGGTCGTAAGGTGCCACACAGTAGTAAACAGGTAGACAGTAGATGTACAAAGAGAAAAGCTGGACCAAACTGTCACAGAAAAACAAGCCAGAAAAGGTCACAAGGATTTAAAAGAATCCAACGTATTTGTCGTGCTCAAAATTCATTCCAGGGGTTACGCTAACCTACCCTCCGCAGAGAGAATTGTTGAGAACGTAACCCCTGGAATTTTGAAGATGCATTTTAGTGTTAAAACTCTAATGACCGGAGGAACTAAAACATATCTACCGATTCAGTAGGGGACCATAACCTAATGGCAATCGCCCCTTATCATCATTTTGGAGGACTTGCAACAATGTCGTAGTTCAGTTTAATTTATCAAAGCCAACAGAAATGAGCATTAAACGCTATGACCAAAAGCCAACACTAAAACTAACTGTCGTACATCCAGCTATATATTCTACAATCTAAGTTTACATACACCATTCACTCCCATATGTATCCCTTACATGAACTCACCCAATCACTGTTTTACACTCCATTCACTTATTTACAGTGTTTAACCTACTGTTCCACTCCTAACAACATGTATACATCTACCCTTTGTTATGGACTAACCATCGATCAATGAATCAGAATGATTGCTCAAAGATAAGTTACTTGTAGTCTATAGTGACCTAAAAAACGGCCCATCACCACACAAAAAGGTGTACACGTATAGTACACACAGAATGAGTGCCATTATAAAGTATCTATGCATAGTTGGATCAATGAAATACCACAATTTGGGCATGGTGGGCATGAAAGTATCAGTCTGCTGTAAAAGACTGCAAGGCAACAAGAAGTTTCAAAGGGAGAAAAAGCAGATATAAAAAAACAAGAGATGTGCGAAGTTGCAGACCCCCAAATATTGCAAGGAGAACAGCATATCAGTATTGGTCCCTTTGGTATACCAAATAAAGGGAAAATAAAGAAAATACTAGAAACTCGTAGAAAATTCCCCATTACAGTGCCCGAAGTACAAGTCAAAGATAATACATATGTTATTCATGTGTTCAACACAAACCCCCTCATAGTAAGTCGGCAATGAATAACTGGTATAATATGTTTCACGAACATTCCTTTTCTTAATGAAATTCTTTAATTTTACGACTGCCAAGAAGCTAAGAAATTAAATGATACATTGCTAAAATTAATGAAAACTTTTTTTTCTAAACCCTATTTAAACTTGTCTATAAAAAAAGTTCATTGTTGTCATTATGAGTTAATGAACGACCATAAAACTTGGGCCAGCAAACCAAGACTAGACCCAGACTAATATCTCTGAACGTGTTAGAGGGACGGCAGTGAACACTGCAAATGTTACCCATCTCAGTTAACTAACTCTAAGCGGGAAGGAGTTTAGAATTGTGTTTACCCATATATTTTTCGTTTTGCGGTTGCAAATCATCATTATTACTGAAGAGATTTTTAAAAATTATTTTCTAAATTTTATGTACACATGTTGTGGGATAGAAAAATAATAGGATATGTTGTGGGATAGAAAAAGTAGGATTTGCGGATTACATTAGATCTACCTTGGTGGACAATCAGTTAAATGATGACCGTTGTCATCTGACCTTAGCTGTTACAGAACGTGAACCTAAGCAGTGAAACTGTTGCCGTCTGCCAAGATTAACAAAACATGTGCTTATCTCAATCTCGGGATTAGAACAACAACCTTTTGTCGATAAAACTGACACTGAAATCACGAAACCATACTCTAAATACCCCGAACATGGAATCATTGTCACCAAACCATCGCTGCAACGATAGTCTTTTGGTACAAATGATGTTTGCATAGAATTTGTCCCATTTGAAAATTGCTTTGTCGTAGCAATTGGCCTACTGAGGGTAAAGAAGAAAAACAATAGTGAACACATGAAGAGAAAAAATACCACAACGTTGACAAACGAACACAAAATTTACCCCTGAGTTAACGCACCAGGACAGAATATACCACAGCGTTACAGGTGCGGTCAAAATTGGAAATTCAAAAACCAGACAATAGAAACAACAAGAGTAACAGAGGAGACACCAAAATAAAGGCAGAACAACATGAACTTTCATAATGAACGAAAACCGATAGCAGTGGTTCAGGAATGATAAGCATAAGCTACACCTAACGGACATCTTAAAGTCATATCGTAGTCTCGACGATATCGAGCTTGAGGGGAACGACCGTGTCTCTGCAAAAAATGAATAAATCTTACAAATGGCTCTGACATATGAAGCTAGTTAAACTTTTATCTGCCCGCTTGGACAAGTTAAAAAGTATGCAGGCTGAAAGTCGTTATTGTTCTTTAGTATAACACCTATGATTTTACATCGTAGGGCAATACGTACCTGTGTCACAATCAAAGGAGAAAACATTTCACGACCATTGGAACAGTAACAAGGACTTCTCACAACTGTGTTGGTTAGCAGTCTATGTGGAATCATATCAGGTAGCGCAAGAGCGCCGGGGTGTCGGCTCGCCGGTCTCACCCACGGGAAGCGCGGCCATCACCCCAGGGACACACAGTCTCCCTAGCTCGTATTTAATAAAACAAATAATAATTCCCAAAATCTGGTTATATATCACAAAATAATGATAACTGGTATAATCCCGAATATACTACGAGTCACATCTAGGCGCGTGTTTCGTTCCTCCGTTCGGAAGACCACGGGACGCCGTGGCTCTCTCTCTCATTTACGTTGTACACTTCGGCAATCCTCGGCTCACAGTAATGATCCAACACTGAATTATAACTTATATATCCTCGGAAATAAAAATTCCATTTCAGAATTAATCCCTTTCTATTGTCACAGCCTTGAACGTCCGTGAGGTCCTTACTACGCCACCCACGCGCGTTCTGCAGGACAACCGCAAAATCGATGTCATACACGTGCAGTGTACTTGGTCATATCTGGAAAATATCAAACACAATTTCTTGATAAAAATTTGAAACAAAAGTAATATGCATACATATTTTACCAAATTGTTTTTATATTGAAAAGGTTATCTATGTAATTTGTTTTTTGTAGAAAGAAATGTCTTTATCTTAGATTTAATAGAAGTCTTGTGAAACTATCAGGCAAGTCGGCGTACATGTGAAGCCAACTTATGATGAGTGCAAAATAAGTCCCGACAAAGCTATGTGCAATAATCAAGCAAAGAATCCATGTACTTTGTGAAAGTATTATGGCCAAAGAGTGTCCGCCAAGTCCATGACAGTTTGGAGATGTTTTTCGCTAGATAGGATTTGACCAGATACCCAGTGTCGACAGGTCTGACCACATCGGGGAGGGAGTAAACACACATACATAGCGTCCTGTGACTCATAAAGCTTATATATAGGAGTGAAACAGTTCATCAGCATATCACGGAAAATCGATGTTCATAATCAGCTGTCCACACCTCGTGGCCACGGCCCACGGTTTCCTACTGGTCCGCCCCTCCAGCAAGCCGATCCTGTCTCCTGGGCCACTGTCTAACTTCAATATCAACTTTTTCCTGTCTGAGCATAAAAGTCTTTTTAAAAGAAAAACATATGTTCTGATAAAGCAACATATGGTTAATCAAACGTGAACTCACAGTCTCGAGAAAAATTCGCGCGTTTTTTGTAGATCTGCAATTGTTGCGCAAGTTGGTTGTAACCCGTTTCGGTGTGGACAGACCTCCGTAGAACTATACTTGTGGTACACATTCTCCAACATGCTATTTGGCTGGGCAATCATGCGTGATCGTGGTTCTTGTCGCGTGGTATTCACTGAATACAAATTCAGCATTCCTTAACCGTACATGCATGTATTATCATTCTTATTTTTTTATGTAAATTTTTATACATTTACACTTCTTCATTATTTTGTCTACATTAAGCGTACGTTTAAAAAAAAATCTTCCGATTATGAAGAATTTGAAGGATATTATCATTAGCATTCAACACGTGCTTAACGCACGCGTGTTTGTGTGCGTTTATTATGTATTGTCACACACTCTTGCCGCATGGTCGGGCCTTCCCACGTTTAGTCGCGATTATAGCATAGCGCGAGACGCAGAGTTTAAGGTAACTTACAAGTTTTAATTAAAGGGGACAGAGACCACAGGTAAGGCATTTTCACATGTAACAGGTGTATGAGAGAGATCAGCGTACCTGTCCAGGTGACAATGTACGGAGGGAGGGGGTACCCTAAGTCACCTCAAGTAACACATACCTGGGCTTGATGACGTACGGTTAGAAAATACTTCAAGAGCTCGTCATCGTCTAAAACACCAAACTTTGGTTTCTAACGAAAGTTTCAATTCTTTTTTTATATATATTCTCTCGCTGTGTTAGCACAGTGTCTTGGTCCGTCCCTTCCACAAGGGGAGTAAACAGAACCGTAACCAGCCTATAGATCGCTATGTTAATTACTCAAGGTATGCTGCTTAACACACAAACATATTCTATTCTGAATAAATATTGAAGTTTGATTAAACACGGACTTTTTCATTCCACAATGCTTCACTTAAAGAACGTGTGGTTTGAGAAATGGGCGTTGAAGTTTTAAAAGTGAAATTCACCTGACTTGTAATTCATCATGGCCATGGCGACTATAAATAGTAAATACTTGTGCATTTCTTTGAATAAATACTACAATAACACCGATACATACGACAACATATTTCAACAGCGAAAAGGAATTTCTCAATTTCCTAAAAGCATATATAAATAATCGACTTTGTGGCGTCAAATAATGCCACAAGGGCATACGGGGAGCCTCCTTTGGGACAGTAGCAAATACAAATGTAACATAGAGATAAATCCGAATATTGCATTAAAGCGGCTATGATTTACCTGTAAGGTAACTTCACTCTACCTGGCAGTCTGTGTAGATTACATGTCCATCGATCGGATTAATGTATATATACATAAATATATATACAATACCCACGGAACACATAGCTGCTTACGAGTTGGTTTCTCAATAACACGTGTACGCCATACAATGTACCCCTTGAAACGATGGCCACTCTATCAGTTGTGTTTGTCAATTATCTTCACGTTTGAGTCCAATAACACATTAGCGATACGAGGGGAATAGAGATACATATAAGTTTCTGATTTGATGATGTAGCGAGTATAACCCAATTGTATCCCACTCCCGATAAACAATGCTCGAGCAATTTGTGGGGGGACGGCTGGTGTATTTACGATGGTGATTCACTAGTTCCGGGATAGTGTGTCGGACTCCGTCCCGGGTTTGGACAGTCCATCACCGGATGGTGAGTAATACAGAGAAATCAATGGCGGGTCGGCCCGGGCAGTGCGGGGAGGGGGGAATGACCACACGCCGATTGGACAAATGGAGGGTCTCCCGTTCATCGGAGGTCAAGGGATAAGATGAATCAAGGGGAAAGTGTCCAGTGTCCACTATATCGAACGTCAACCAAACAAATAGGCGTCTGGTCAATTTTCTCGGGACGAATCCCGCCGTAGATATAGTGGTCTCGAAGGATTCCAACATCTACATATCCAAATAGAGCATCATACTGTCTCTCAATATGCTCCAATATCAATGATTATAATCTAAGTCCAACCATACCCGGCAAAACGGATTCGGACCACCTTTCTGTCTTAATACATCTCAGGTCCAACGATATACCCGTCTATACAACCATATTTATTAAAATTTGCTATGCATATATATATATATATATATAATTGTTGCTAGAAGATCTTTGTTTTCGACATTGATACAGCTGAAGTTCAGCCATTCTCTTCGATGAACTGAATATACATATATTAAACTACCTCATTGATAAAACTAAAGAATATGTATTTAACCATCCACAAAAGCAACTAAATTATATCAAAACATTCCACAAAAGCAACTTTTGTTTCTATCTCACCAATCAAACCAACAAAACTAAATTATATCGTATAAAGCGTCCACGAAAATAAATTAAGTGTAGCCATTAAGGCACTATAACTCGACGAAAGAAAGAGTCATGTGGGTTTTTTTCTTCTATATATTTTTAAGCATGATAAGACTAAGAAAACAATCATGCTCACGAGAACCGAAGGCATTTTTCACAGGCAGTAGGCACAGCAGATTAGAAGAGTTAAAAAAAACAGGAATTGTTTAAACAGGTAACATAAACTATTCACACAATACGATACCAGTTTGGATACCATACTCCTACTGGTGCATTGGAAAATCAGGGATCAACGCACCAACGAATATAAGACATATGATAGGCAACGATATATTTTTAATAATGAAGATGTACAAAAGATAGTTTACCTGTAGTCAACAAAGATCAACATTGCACACGGTAGTTCCCACCTGGTGTCACATACTAAAGCCGTACGGGTATCGATCCAGCGCCAGGTAACTTGTGGTAACACCTGTACGGAAACCACAAGGGTCCCAACACTGATAATCCTTGTGGAATTCCACAAACTTTCTCCGATAAATATCCTATGATCGGAGATGTATTTTAATAAAAGGATCGTAAATCACTTAACACGTCTGGGTCCTATCCAAGGGTAAAACAATGAAACACGCTAACAGCTGCGCCGGGACGAAGTGCAGCGTGTAGACTTTCATAAGTATCGCCAATGACGGGATGTTTAAGATGCGGAAGTCGGAATTCCGTATCGAACTTTAACCGTGTACGAGTCCAGATTACTCCATACTGACTGTACTTCTCGTAGTGGACTTATCAGGTTTTGTTTAAAATCCATCGGAATAAATGTTAAGGCTTAGAGCGCTGTTCAGTACGTCGTGTCACAAGCTCGCTATGATACTAGGTGTGATCGTCTCGCTCGCACGCACAGGTATGTCTCCGGCAGCCCCTTCTTTAGTAGGACCCACGTACTGTCCCGTCTACTTTCGTTCTCCACTTAAACCGTCAGAACATCATTGTGGCCCATTTACCAGATCATTATAACTTCTTGACTTATTTGTGGTAATCCAAATCTAAAACGACTCGATTAGTTGTGAGTTTTAAAATCTAACATTAAGTATTTACCAATTCATTGGCGACGTCTATGTCGTGAACCATGAAATGATTAAATAGGACTGGTAAGATTAGTCTCACTGGTTAGACATATGATATAATTAATTACAGCTAATTGATGCATTACGTACACATTAAAGCAGAGCGGGACCTCTCTATACATGAACACAGACTATGATCTGTCATCAAACTTCAAACTATAACACAGAGTGTTTGTATCGCCCCATTAGTACTCGTTTTATCGGTGTATAAGTTGGAAATTAAACTGATACATATATTGAAATATCTCAGCTTTATAATTTGATTTTGGCTTACACTTGCAATATTGTTTTGATAACTACCGCAGCGTAAACGATTCGTCTGTTTTTCTCTTGTCATCAAAACCTGTCAAAATATGATCGCATGACATTCCTGAGGAGCGTGCACGGAAACCTAACTGGGGCAAGAGTAATGTTATAGCTTGGCCGTCTCACTGGTAAAACACACTGAATACTTTTAATATTGATACAGTACCACACTCTATACTCTCTTTGCTGATACACTACCACACTATATACTCTCTTAACTGAAACACTACTACACTGTATGCTATCTTAACTAATACACTACCACACTATATACTCTCTTAACTGAAACACTACCACACTGAATGCTATCTTAACTAATACACTACCACACTATATGCTGTCTTAACTGAAACACTTCCACACTCTATACTCTCTTAACTGATACACTACTATACTCTCTTAAATGATACACTAACACACTGTATACTCCCTTAACTGATACATGACCACACTATATACTCTCTTAACTGATACACCACTGTATACTATCTTAACTGATACACTACCTTACCGTATACTCCCTTAACTGATACATTACCACACTATATACCCTCTTAACTGATACACTAACACACTTTACACTCTCTTAACTGATACACTACCACAATCTATACTCTCTTAACTGATACACTACCACACTATATACTCTCTTAACTGATACACTAACACACTGTACACTCTCTTAACTGATACACTACCACACTCTATGCTCTCTTAACTGATACACTAAAACACTGTACACTTTCTTAACTGATACACTACAACACTAGAAGCTCTCTTGACTGATACACTACCACACTAGAAACTCTCTTGACTGATACACTACAACACTAGATACTAACTTAACTGATACACTACCACACTGTATACTCTCTTAACTGATACACTACAACACTCTTTACCCTCTTTACTGATACACTACCACACCCTACACTCTCTTAACTGATACACTACTACACTATATACGCTCTTAACTGATACACTACCACAATCTATACTCTCTTAACTGATACACTACCATACTGTATACTCACTTAACTGATACACTACCACACTAAATACTCTCTTAACTGATACACTACCATACTGTATACTCTCTTAACTGATACACTACCACACTAGATACTAACTTAACTGATACACTACCATATTCTATACTCTCTTAACTGATACAGTATCACCCTCTTTACTCTCTTAACTGATACACTACCACACTGTATAATCTCTTAACTGATATACTACCACACTATATACTCTCTTAACTGATACACTATCACCCTCTTTGCTCTCTTAACTGATACACTACCACACTCTATACTCTCTTAACTGATACACTACCACACTATATACTCTTAACTGATACACTATTACACTGTATACTCTCCTAACTGATACACTACCACACTATATACTCTCTTAACTGATACACTATCACCCTCTTTGCTCTCTTAACTGATACACTACCACACTCTATACTCTCTTAACTGATACACTATTATACTGTACACTCTCTTAACTGATACACTATTACACTGTATACTCTCTTACATGATACAGTACCACACTCTATACTCTCTTACCTGATACACTACCACACTGAATACTATCTTAACTGATACACTACCACACTCTATACTCTCTTAACTGATACACTACCACACTGAACACCCTCCTAACTGATACACTGCCACACTGTATACTCTCTTAACTGATACACTACCACACTCTATACTCTCTTCACTGATTTACTACCACACTGAACACTCTCCTAACTGATACACTGCCACACTGTATACTCTCTTAAATGATACACTACCACACTCTATACTCTCCTAACTGATACACTGCCACACTGTGTATTCTCTTAACTGATACACTGCCACACTGTATACTCTCTTACCTGATACACTACCACACTATATACTCTCTTAACTGATACATTGCCACATTGTATTCTCTCTTATCTGATAAACTACCACACTCTATACTATCTTAACTGATACACTGCCACACTGTATACTCTCTTAACTGATACACTACCACACTCTATACTCTCTTAACTGATACACTACCACACTGTATACTCTCTTAACTGATACACTGCCACACTGTATACTCTCTTAACTGATTCACTGCCACACTGTATACTCTCTTACCTGAAACAGTGCCACACTCTATACTCTCCTAACTGATACACTACCACACTCTATACTCTCTTAACTGATACACTACCACACTCTATACTCTCTTAACTGATACACTACCACACTGTATACTCTCTTAACTGATACACTGCCACACTGTATACTCTCTTAACTGATTCACTGCCACACTGTATACTCTCTTACCTGAAACAGGGCCACACTCTATACTCTCCTAACTGATACACTACCACACTCTATACTCTCTTAACTGACACATTACCATACTGTATACTCTCTTAACTGATACACTCCCACACTATATACTCTCTTAACTTATACACTACCACACTATATATTCTCTTAACTGATACACTATCACCCTCTTTACTCTCTTAACTGATACACTACCACACTATATACTCTCTTAACTGATACACTACCACACTATATACTCTCTTAACTGATACACTACCACACTATATATTCTCTTGACACTGACACACTACCATACTGTATACTCTCTTAACTGATACAGTACGGTACTGAATACTCACTTAATCGAAACACTACCCCACTGAATGCTTTCTAAACTGATACACTACCAGACAGAATACTTCCAATAAACTGATACACTACCACACCGAATACTTTTTAAACTGATACATTACGGCACTGAAAACTCTCTAAACTGATATACTACTACACTGAATACACACTAAACTGATACACTACCAAACCGAATACTTTCTAAACTGATACACCACAACACCGAATACTCTCTAAACTGATACACTACCACACCGAATACTCTCTGAGCTGGTAGAGTACGGCACTGAATACTCTCTAAACTGATAGAGTAAGGCACTGGACACTCTGTAAACTGATACAATACCACACTGAATACTTTCAATAAATTGATACACTACCATACTGAATACTTTATAAACTGATACACTACAACACTGAATACTCTCTAAACTGATACACGTTCACACTAAATACTCTCTAAACTGATAGAGTATCAAACTGAATACTCTACAAACTGACACAGTACTACACTGAACAGTAGGTAGTACTAAACATTACAAATATAGTATAAGTAGTACTAAACACTACAGATACAGTAGGAATTAATAAACACTACTGATACAGTAGGTAGTACCTAAACACTACAGATACAGTAGGTAATACTCAACACCACATATATAGTAAGTAGTACTAAACACCACAGATACACTGGGAAGTACTAAAGACCACATATATAGTGGAAAGTACTAAACATCTTAGATATAGTAGGTAATGCTCAACACCACACATACAGTGGGAAGTATTAAACACCACAGATACAGTAGGTAGTACTAAACACCACAGATACAGTAGGAAGCACTAAACACTACAGATACAGTGGGAAGAACTAAACACCGCAGATACGGTAGGTAGCACTAAACACTACAGATACAGTGGGAAGAACTAAACACCACAGATACAGTAGGTAGCACTAAACACCACAGATACAGTGGGAAGTACTAAACACCACAGATACAGTAGGTAGTATTAAACACCACAGATACAGAAGGTAGTACTAAACACCACAGATACAGTAGGAAGTACTAAACACCACAGATACAGTAGGTAGTACTAAACACCACAGATACAGTAGGTAGTACTAAACACCACAGATACAGTAGGTAGTACTAAACACTACAGATACAGTGGGAAGAACTAAACACCGCAGATACAGTAGGTAGCACTAAACACCACAGATACAGTGGGAAGAACTAAACACCGCAGATACAGTAGGTAGCACTCAACACTACAGATACAGTGGGAAGAACTAAACACCACAGATACAGTAGGTAGTACTAAACACCGCAGATACAGTAGGTAGATCTTAACACTACAGATACAGTGGGAAGTACTAAACACCACAGATACAGTAGGTAGCACTAAACACTACAGATACAGTGGGAAGTACTAAACACAACAGATACATAAAGTGGGAAGTACCAAACACCACAGATACAGTAGGAAGTACTAAACACCACAGATACAGTAGGTAGTACTAAACACCACAGATACCGTAGGTAGTACTAAACACCACAGATACAGTAGGTAGTACCAAACACCACAGATACAGTGGAAAGTACCAAACACCACAGATACAGTAGGTAGTACTAAACACCACAGATACAGTTGGTAGTACTAAACACCACAGATATAATAGGTAGCACTAAACACCACAGATACAGTGGGAAGTACTAAACACCACAGATACAGTGGGAAGTACTAAACACCACAGGTACAGTAGGTAGTACCAAACACCACAGATACAGT